ATCCAATTGCTAGCCACTTCTTGCTCTACCTCAAGTTTGGTGTTGAAATTCTTCCTTTCCAGCTCCCATTTTTCTTTTTCAACATCGAACTCTTCAATCCTTTGGCCCCTAACTTCAAGTTCGACAATCAGATGGTTCATTTCAGATTCAAATCCCTTGAACATGGTATTTTTCTCACCTTCAAATTTCTCAAGCATGTCGTTCTTTATCTTTTCTAAATCTTTGGCTCGATATCTTTCTCTCTGCATTTCATTCATGATCTCGCGGTGTTCAGCTTTGTGTTTTATAATTCGCTCTCTTCTGTCAACCTCAAAATCTTCCATTTTTTGCTTTCCTTTCTCAAGGCTTTTGAGTAGACGGCTATTCTTTCCTTTCAAATCTTCAACTCGACTTTTCTCAATGTTCAATTCTTTGGTCATCTGTACTGTTGATCGACTCGGTCCTGATGCTTTTCGGGATTTATATAGCTCATGGTAATTCTTCTTTAACGTTCTGAATTCACCATCAACTTTTTCTTTGCTTTCTCTCAGCATTGTACATTGTGCTGAATGAAAGTCAACGTCAACACCCAACATAGCTTTATCTCATATCATTTGCTCTAATTCTTTTGACCAACCTTCTCTTTCCGCTTCAAACTCAACTCTTAGGATTTCAATCTCTGATGGAACCACCTTAATGCGATCTTCCATAGAGATATCCTCATTTTGGTTTGGTAGATGAATATTTTCATTTTTCCTGACAGATCTCCATTCCTCATAATCAGGAGTTAACATTTCTTTTGATGCTTTAGCTCGGATACAAAAAGTTGTTTTCCAAGCTGTAAAGGCCTCCATGATATTTCTTTTATAATTTTTGCTGTAGAATGCGAACTCAGACGAATGTAATCCAGCAGTGACAGGAACAAATTGACGACCTTCATACTGTCTTATGACCAGAAGTAGTGCATATCCGATTCCTCCCCACAATCCGAGCAGCATTACCCAGTTGTAATCACCACATTTGTAAAAGAATTCCCTTTGGATTTGCCACGGGACTCGCCAAACAATGTCATCGCTTTGCAGATTTCAAAAGGCATTAATCCACATATCTTTCGTAATTTCTTTCGGCCATTCTTGCTCCAGAAATTCTTTCAATGGTGAGTAGTCCGTATTAAAGCGCCAGTATGAAACCTTTTCTGTCCTCCAAAAATGGCTACAGATCCAGACATATAATAATTGGGCACATCCTGAGAATCGTCCACCTCCTAGCTTCCTACAAGCGTTTAACGATTTGAAAGTCTCTGCTAGAATTGCAGAAGCAGGATTAACCCTTTTTGGTAGCTGCTCAAACAAATCTACTACTGCAGCTTCAATATATCCCAATACTTTCGGGAAGATGACCATACCATACATACCCAGAGCAAAGAGATCGAATCGTACTTTATCATCTGGATGACTCTGAATAAGTTCTTTAATGTTGGTCCAAGCAATGCCCTCACTTTCGCCCTTTAGTTTTGTATGGGATACTACCCATTCCTCTCGTACTCCGGCAATCTTTGCTAATTTAACTCGAAAAGGTTGAGTTTTAATTGACCTTGAATAAATTCGATTCTCCAAAGCCCATTCTATATGTAACAAAGTTGTGTACTCTTTAATAGTAGGGACCAAGTCCTCCTTATTGAGAGTGAAGCAATTGTACCCTAGATTATAGAATTGAATTAAGGCTCTAAGTAAGTCATCATCAACTTCGACATAGAGCAAATATGGGATGTCCCCGTAAGTCTGATAAAACTGCAACTTTTTGTTTGAGTCCCAACTCTCCCAAATGCCTCGCAAATCTTGTATATCATTTCTTTTTAGCGAAACTGGAGCATAACTGGCTAACTTAGATACATAGTCATCCTGCAGACTGTCTCCCCCTTGTCTTTGTAAGTCCTCAGCCCACTGTCTTACTTCTGAGTTTAGAACTATTTGATTTGAACACATTTTATCCATGGATGAAGGTTTTCCAATGAGACGATTAACACGAGGATCAATGCCTTTTATCCTGTATGATGCTATGCAAACAGAAGAAAAAGAACACACAAAAAGAAATGAATTAGTTTACATAATAAAGGAAAAATAATTTAATAATAATATCTACCTAAATATCTTTATTTAAACATGCTTTCTTCATACTTTAAATAATTTAAATTCACATGCAATTTATTCAATAAGAAAATAAATAAATAAATTAAAAGGAAAAGTTAGAATTCATTTCTTCTGTGTATACACCTATTTTGGACAAAATTTCGGCATGGCTTCAGATCGGAAGAGTTTCTAGGGTTTATTATATGCAGGGTTTCAGATCTAAGAATAAAGGTACCCGAATTGTCCTTGTTAGTGCCCCCTTGGGCTGCTAACCCTCAATCCTAGTCCATCACAGACTAAAGTGGACGAGTTCAATTCGAGGGGATACACTTCTCTATGCCTGACACGGAGAATAAATTCTCACGAAGACATAGAGCATATGAACCTCGAAAGTTACTTGCTAGGTCTGACACGGAGAATAAATTCTCACGAAGACGTCGCTTTCACTCCCACTTAAAAGGGACAAACTCAATTATAGAGCTTTATGTTATGCAATGCAAGTGTTGTGTGTGAGGAGAAATGTTCAAACCTCTGACAGAAAAATAAATAATGAAATAAAATACTTGAAAATAAAATGAAATATTAATAAAATAATATATATAAATACTATGAAAATAATAAGTATATATAAAAAATTTTGAAAAGAAAGAATTATAAATTAAATATATGAATTTTTAATTTCTAATTAATAGAGACAATTTATAATTGATTTTAAAAGCTTGATCGGTCCCCAGTGGAGTCGCCAAGCTGTCGTAACCGGTTTTCGCCCGGGCACGAAATTTTTTTTTACTTGGCAAAAAAATAAAAATAAAAATAATGTGGATAAAAATGATTTTGATTTAAAAAATATTTTGGGAGTCGCCATTGACCTTTTGGGGTTAGGTAGATCAAATACCTAAAAAAATAATCTTTTAAAATAGTTTTGAATAAAACATAATTTAAAAGATAAAATTGATCTGCGTATAACCAAAAATTTTAGTAAAACAGGATTCGTGGTCGATTACGTTTAGGGAAGGATTAGCACCCCCTATAACGCCCAAAATTGGTACTTTATTAATTATAATTTGTCTTTATTATTGGAAATTTAAAATTAAAGATATATTTAATCTATAATTATGTCATTTTAAATTTACTAGTATAATTATAAGGAAATTTATTAATTTTTATATAAATAAGATATTTATTTATTTAGAAATATCAGAAAAGAACTTCTAGGTGCTTTAAGACATCTCTTTTCTTCGATATTAAAAAATAAATATAAATAAAATATTTCTTAAAAATAATAATATATTTTATAGGGTAAAAATATCAGAAAACGGACCTCTAGGTGCTTTAAGACAGTCCTTTTCTTTAATATTATTAAAATAGGATTATTATTATTATTTTATATAAAAAATAATTCATATAAAGATTTTAAGAAAAATAAAATAAATAATTATTTATTATATATATATTTTTAATAATAATACTACTAATAATAATATATTACAAATAAACATATAGAATTAAATCAACAACTAAAATAAATGAAACTATATAAAAATGATTAATAATTTAAAACTAATGACTAAATTATAATATATTAAAAATAAATATCTAATTCGTAATTAATTATTTAAAATTTCAGTGGCTAAACATGCTATTCTACCCCTTTATTAATTTAGTAACTAGATTAAAATTATATCAAATTCGTATATCAAATTAAAAGAAATTAAAACATGTTATTTGGTGTTTAAAATATTAATTAATAAAGTTACGAGGACTAAATCGGTTATTTTAATTAAAATATATATTTTATGTTAATGACTAAATTATAAATTAAATAAAATTAAGAGATCAAATTAAAAAGATCATAAATTTGATTCAGTGACTAAAATATAAAATTACAAAACTGATAGACTGAGGACGGGATTTAACTTTTAATTAATTACACATAGACCCCTCCCCAAAACGACGTCGTTCGGGGAGGGGTATTTAAGCCCCAAACCTCAAACCTCAAACCCTAAACCCTTAAGCCCTTAAACTTTGACCTTAGTTTTCCTTAAAACGTCCCGTATTTGCCTAGATCTAAGAAAAATACCTTCAGTATTTTGCTTCTACGGCGGCCTATGAACTCCGGTGGCGTCGCAGCTTCTTCGGTAAGGCTTCTCTCAATTTTTGTTTCGATCTTTTGATGGTTTGGTTGCTGTGTTCTCTGGCCTTCTTTCTGTGCTCTCTGTTCTTGCCCTCTGTTTTTCTCTTGTTTGCAGGTGGTCGACTTTTATAAGCCTCGCCGGTATCTTCTTCGGACTGGGTAAAAGATTAAAGCTTGGTGAGTCACCGAACTTCCAGTGGTGACTCACCGTTGAGGGCGACGTGTGCGGCTTTGGCTAGGCCTTCTGGATCCTTCGGTTGGCGTCGTGGCAGCGTGGTAACAAAGGTTGACGAACGGCGGCCGCGTGGTCCCTAGGGTATCATCACCCTAGGGTTTGTTCTGGATGCGTGTGGGACGTTGGATCTCTCAGATCCAAGAGCTGTGATGCTGAGGCGGCTAGGGTATTGAAATGGAAACCCTAATCTGGTTTTAGGGTTAGCTGGGCCATCTGGATCTGGGTTACTGTTGGGCCTGATGTATCTGGGTTGGGCTCGTAATGTATTTGGGCCTGTAATAATATTTATTAATAATAAAATAATAATAATAATAATTATAATTATAATAATAATAATATAAATAATATTCAAATGAAAAAAATGAGTATCTTCATCTGCCAGGGAGATGAATGCAGTTCGCCAGACTAAAAAATATTCAATTTCGATCTCAAATTTTTGCTATGATGTATATCTATGTAGTAGATTTTAATGGTCGAGTTGATATATCTCTTTATATATGTATATAACCTCGAGTAGTAATTCAGGCAGCCTCGTTGCCTTAGATCATCATGGCAATGAAGGCGTTACACTGCTCGGATAGTAAATATTGCTTTTGCTCTTCAGTCTTGCTGAGATTTATTGATGAAGCTGTACTTATAGTAAGCCTAAGCACATTTCACCCTTTTTTGTTTTCAATGTTGTTCTTTATGTAGGGTTCTTAAGAAGAAGACGATTGAGATGGTGACATTTGATAATAAAATTTTAAAATTGAATTTATTTCACTTATTTTTAATGATATATTAAAATTTTAATTCTTTATAATTTATAGAATTATATAATTTAATCCATTAAATCAAATATAAAGTTTTACAATAATACAATTTTTAATAAAGCAGAACAAATCTAGTTTATTAACCAAAATGAGGAGAGAGAATAAAGTGATAAAAGAATTACTTAATATAGTACAAAACAATATGATCTTCATGTTGGACAGTTGATCGTATATTGATGATAGTATTAAAAACTATAATTTGTAATTTGTAATAAATAAAGATAAAATTGATTATATTCAAAGATTAATAGGAATGTGAAAATATAAAAACACCTTTATATAAATCATTATCTTTTAAAACAAAAATAGATTAAAGAAAGCGATGAACCTTCTTTCGTGACTCTCGGATAAAGCGGTTGAGTATGGGGTGTTCAATTATCACCCTAAGTGCCGCAAATCTGTCTTATTAGTCTTTTGCTTTGCGGATGATTTATTGGTGTTTGCTAAGGGTAAAGTGGATTATGTTGTTGGGGGCGTGGGATGCTATTAAATTGCTTTTGAGGTTCTAAAGTCTATGAAAGAATTAGACAAAGCCAGATATTTTCTCTTTAAGTTTTAATGGTGCTAACATGCTGCTTATTGTTGTTGCTACATGAATTAAGTGTGGTGACTTGCCTGTGAGGTATTTAGGTATTTTCCTAGTTACGAGGAGGCTCTTCGTTAGGGATCTCTTATTGCGACAATCTCGACTAGGCTGTAGAGTTAACGAGTGAGATAACTCTCGTATGTAGGAATGGCAGACGAGGGATGATAAACGAATACAATTTTATGAATTTTGTACCGTATTCGCACAAATTGGAGTGGATATGAGTACAAGTTTAGTGAGTAGTGGGTGGATGTAGATGTAAAAAGTAATACTCGTTATGGGTAATGGGTAAGTGATGGGTTTAAGATCTTACCCGCCCTGCATCCGCATGCCCCATATCCGTCCGTTCACTAACTATCCACTATATAAAATTTGGACCATTATGAATTTAGGTATAATTCTAAAGATTATTTTGTAAATATTAAGATTTTTATAAGACATGCCATGAAATGTAACCAAATATTATGACAAACTTGTTTAAAATTAAAGTCAGTCGTTTCTCCTACCTCGAATTGATGAGTATGGACGAGTACATACGTGTACAAGATGGACGGTGGATATCCAATTAGTTAATGGGTGTGGGGATAGAGTTAAGAATGTATCCGCGTGGACGGATGTGAATTTAAAAATTTTACCAATTGTGAGTGGTGGGTAAGTAGTGGATACGAAAATATCATACGGATATGTCAAAGATCTTTTGACATGGAATCAAGCGAGTGAAATCTTTTTTATCAAGAGACTCCTCCTCAAGGACAGATCCATTTGGATTGCCTCAATTCACACTTATGTCCTCAAAGAGCGATCTTTTTAGCAAATCGAAGTGCTCAATGTTGCAGTTGGACGTGGCATAGCTTGTTCTACCTTCGAGATAAGGTTGCTATGATCCAGGATTTGTTGGGAAGTTCTTTATTTTCCATTGGCCTCATTTGGCATGAGGTTCTCTTGAAAAGCGATAAGATTATTTGGGAGAGATTGGTGTGCCACTCGGGGTACATTCTTTGAAACTCCGTCATTGTTTGGATGGTGGTCCTAGGTAGATTACCTACTAAAATTAGACTCATTTGACTACTAAGGTTAGATTTCCTACTAGATAGATTGCCTACTAAGGTTAGCCTTCGAGATAAGATTGCTATGATCCAGGACTTATTGGGAAGTTCTTTATTTTCTATTGTTCTCGTTTGCCAGATCCGTTTGAAGAGCGATAACGTTATTTGGGAGAGATTTGTGTAGCACTCGAGGCATACTTCTGCTTGATCATTTGTTTATTTCTAGAATTGTTTGGGGTGGTATTTTGAAAGATTATTTGTTGAGTAGGAATGCTATGAGTTAGGACTTGGAGTCAGTTTGGTTTAATTTCAGATTGCGAGGGAAACCACTGTTGTCGCTAATACTCAAGCTGGAGTAAAATGGTTGTATTGCTGCGATTTGAAGGGAGCATACTAGAAGGTAGCTTCAGCAATACTTGATCATATTGCTGATGATGTTGTGACGCCGGTTAAGGAGTCCATCCGCTTTAGTCTGAGGGGTAAAAATGTCAGAAGGGATGGAAATGTTAATGGTTCTCTTTGTACTAACTGGAAGATAGATGTTTAGGTTTGGCTGGTCTCTGTTTATCGGCTTGCTGTGTGGTTTTGTAAATGTCCTTGTTTTAAGGGTTTTGGTGTAATATATTCATATTCATCGAAAATAATATATTAATAATTTTATAATTTAATTGATATATAATTATTTTTTGATGTAAATTAAATTAGTCCCTTAAAAATAAATATAGATTGCACACTAATGCGGCGAATATATGCTTGCAATGTGCGAGTATATGACCCACCAACACCATTAGCGTTCCTCTACGGGCGCGTGGCTTGCGTTTCTAGAACTCTACAAAGATCTCTGCTCTGTTATGCCCAACCATAGTTTGTTTTTCAACACCTTTTTTCCCCTGGTATGGCCGATACCAAAGATTCTTCCATAAACGGCACCATGTGTACTTTATTTACTCCCCTTTATATCTGTTTACCTTTAATTGAACTTTAAATCCATCTAGTTCATATATCAACGGATGAGATTTATTTTTTTATTTGGATAATTCTTTTTCATTACCCAAGAAGCAGAAAACTGCTACAGTTTATAAAATACAATAAACAAGGATACATAATCAGCAACCAATAAAGACAAAACTGCAAATACAGTAAGAGTAGCAAAGTAACCGAACTCCCACTATGTGATACCCCAACTAGCACAAAGAGTTGCATTACGTGGGTCGAAACTGCTAATATTGCATCCCATCAACCGAATCCGAACGACAGCTTTGATAACATGCAGTAGTGCATCCATTGGGCGAGCACAGCCCCCATAGAGCCTGCAATTCCTTTCCCTCCAAATGCAATAGACATGGCCTGCCAGGCAAGTCGAAGAATTCTTACAATAAGGGACTTGCCCTTAAGGCAACAGATTACCCAAGTCAGTTCACTATCCCAGCCTCTGACGCCTCTATATAGACCACATAAAGTAAGAGTAGCTCCCCATAAGTCTTTAGCAAAATTACAGCCAAAGAACAGGTGGTCTCTGCATTCAGCCACAACACCACACATTAGACATTTATCATTCTCGATATTTAAGCCCATACTAAGGAGCCTAACACGAGTAGGGAGACGATTAAGAATGGCCATCCATACTATAATGATGTGTTTAGGGATACGCCCAGGAAACCAAACAAGATGCTACCAAGAGACTTTGGGGATATTGGTGTGCAAGTCATCCCGAATACTTCTAACACTTCGGTTCTAGATTGGGCCAACAAAGAGATGAATAACAGTAGGTCTGATTTTCATGATGTACTTGAATGACCAGCTTATATTTGCAGGAATTCTCATCTGCCAGAAGTCTACATCCCCGATCACATAGGCACACATCCAGGCCACCCAGAGAGAGCCCTCACTGGCTAATAATTTTTTGATAAGGTTTATTCCATTCGCCTACGTCTTGGACGCCTAGGCTACCTTCTGACTTCAATGTACAGACCTTTTTCCAGCTGACACAAGCGCCTCTTACAGGTAAGTCAGACCCTTTCCAGAAGAATCTGGAACATAACTGCTCAATAGAGTTGATTATCTCTTTAGGAAGAACGAGCTGCATGCACCAGAAATTTGCCATGCTGAAGAGAACAGCACGGATCAATTGAAGCCTCCTTGTAAAGCTAAGGTGTTTATTGGCCCACAAATTTAGCTTTTCCCTTATCTTGTCAATTAAGCTTTGGCAGTCCTTAATAGTGAGTTTCCTAGTTACCAGTGGAACACCCAGGTAATGAAAAGGGAGATTACCCAGTTTGAAACCTGTTAACTCCTTGATGGCAGCACATTGTTCAGCAGAAATCCCAGCATAGAATATTTCACACTTACTAGCATTTAATTTTAGTCCAGACATAGAGTAGAAAGAGTCAAGAATAGTTTGTACACCAATTACAGAGTCCAGAGAGCCTTTACAGAATATTAGCAAATCATCAGCGAAGCACATGTGAGTGAGCCCAACCTTTTTACACTTAGGATGATAGCTGAACACTCCATTCTTAGCAGCTATATTAAGAAGGCTCGATAAAATGTTCATGGCTAAGACAAAAATATAAAGAGAGAAGGGATCACCCTGTCTAACACCTCTAGCCCCTTTGAAATAGCCAACAAGAGTACCATTGAAAACAATGGAGTAGCTTGGATTAGTAATACAAGCCAAAATCCAGCCTATGAATTTCTCAGGTAATCCGAGAGCATGCAAAACAATTCTCACAAAATCCCAGTTTAAGGAATCGAAAGCCTTCTGCAAATTAATTTTGAGAGCACATCTTAGAGAAATTTTCTTCCTAGAATAACCCGAACAAGTTCTTGAGCAAGTAGGGTATTATCAATTATGCTTCTCCCTTTCACAAAAGCAGATTGGTTCATTGAAATCATGCTAGGAAAGACAACAGACAGTCGGTTCACTAGAATTTTAGTAACAATCTTATATATGATAGAACAACAAGAAATAAGCCTAAAGTCTTTGATCATACTAGGATTAGGAACCTTTGGGACAAGCACAACAGCTGTAGCATTGAAGGAAGGGAGCATGAATGAGTTAGTGAAGCAATACCTGATTGCTGCCAAGAAGTCATTTCCCACAATATACCATGTCCGTTTAAAAAAGAATGAGTTGTATCCATCAGGACCGGGGGTTTTATTATCCCCTTGTCCCCATAAAGCATCTTTGATCTCAACATCATATATCTCTTTGATTAAAGCCTCAGAAGCACCCTCGGGAAGGGAATAGCCCAGAAGCTCCTTTACAGTGGTGACATTACAGCAATTGACCTCAGGATCGATCACCCCTAATTGCTTTTTAAATAAGTTAATAGCCTCATTAGACATATCATCAAAGGTTCTAAGTCTAACACCTTCTTGATTAAAAAAGACTCTAATGGTGTTGTTCATCCTCTTGCTAGCCACCATGGAGTGAAAAAACCGGGTGCCCTGATCACCTTCTCTAATCCAGTCAGCCTTTGTTTTTTGTTTATAGAAAAGAAGATCCATTTGTTCAAGGCCTCTTAACTCATCCTCAATCTTAAGTTCATCAATCATGAGGCTACAAGCAGTAACAACATCCAAATTGGCAAGCTGAATAGCCCTCAATTCTTCCCTTTTACACAAAAACTCGCCCCGAAATATCAGAAAAGTGAGCTCTATTTAGGATCTTAAGATAACTCTTTAACCGCTTTAGCTTTAAGAACAGAAAATGAGTTGGGTTCCTAATAGCTGGTGCCTGCCACGAATCACTAACAATGGATAAAAAATCTGGGTGCATAGCCCAAAAATTAAAGAACTTGAATGGCTTCGGTTTATTTGTAGCAGCTTCCTTGTGCAGCCAGACTAAGGCTGAACTGTGATCAGACTCCACAAGCACTTGAAACTCAACTTCAGAGGATGGGAAAGCCTCAAACCAACAATGATTAACCATAACACGGTCTAGTTTGCGGGAAAGGAAAGAGTCTTGCTGCTTGTTAGACCAGGTGTAAAGTGGGCCAATAAATTGGTGATAAAAGATTCCCAGGTCCTCAACACACTTCTGAAACTCGAGGATGTCACTGCTAGTGCTAGAGCTGATAGGATTAGAACTTTTCTCTATTTTTTTAAATGACATTGAAGTCGCCCCTACCAACCAGGCTGCATCACCCACAAAGCTATCTATACTACCAAGTTGCGACCAGAGTTGCCTACGGGTTATGCCATCATTGGAACCATACACCGCGGGAATGAAAAAAGATAAACCATTGAAGGTGCCTTTGAAGGTGATACACTGCTCGAAAATAAAACAGATGAAACAGTCCAAACTTCATTGCCATAAAACTCAGATTCGACCATTCTCAGCATGGGAGTAATTACAACAGAAATTCCAGCCCTCAAACTTCTTAGAAAAAATATCAGCAGCATTAGCCTCCTTGACTCTAGTCTCCAGAAGACAGAGAATATTAATGTGAAACCTTTTTGCCCATTTTAGCACAATGCTTTGCTTTAGGGGACTATTGAATCCCCTAATATTCCAGAAGCATATTAGCATAATAAAATTGTAGATGAGCCACCGCCCCTTTCCTCTGCTCTTTTAACCTTTTCAACATGTTCTTTCTTTTTTAGTTTCAGTTCTTGCACAATCTTTGCAACACCCAAAGCATCCCCTCTCTGTTTCTTACCAGAGTCAACAGGAGGGATCCCAATCAAACTGTCAGGGTCAATCAAGCTTAGGACGTCAAATTTGTTTTTAGACCCACCTCCCACAGATTTATCAGCTTTAGCAGGCCTGCCCCTGCCTCTCTTTGCATGGCGATCAATAGCATGTATAGGGAGTTCAGGTTGTTTAAACCCTTGGCCAATCCTCGCCAATCCCTGCAACATTCTCAGGACGGATCTCAACAGGCGCTGAACTATCAACCAAGCTTCCGCTGTAAACCCCAACTGGCACCTTATTAACAACTGAGGTCCCAGAACAACCCCCTTTAGGATTTAGAGCAACAACCGGGAGACTGGCACAAGCCTCATCAATAGTATAAATCAAAGCATTACCAGAACCGGAAGACTTATTTACCATATTAGCACTAGCAGAAATAGAAATGCCATTCAGGTATACAAGAGCAGTCGAGGCACCATCCTTCGAACCTACAGATCCCAAAGCGTTCAAAGTCTCACCCTTAGAAGCAACTTGAGTAGGCCTTTTGACTCTCCAGATCTGCTCAACTTTCTTCCCTTGAGGAAAATATTTCATCGAATGCCCAAAACGACCACAGTTAACGCAAGTGTTAGACAGCCAGAGTTAGGCAGCCAAGGAACATAGACTTTAACCTTGGCTATTGACTCATCACATAATATCACATCTATGTAGTTTGGGATTTGAGACCCAGCCGAAATCTCTACACAGACTCGTGCATATTCCAACATTTCCTTATTTACGGTAATCGAATCCATATGGAGTGGCTTACCAATTGCACTAGCTACGTATCTTAGCCCTTTCTTCGAAAATAGCTCCAATGGAACATTATACAAATGAATCCAAATAGGCATACAATGTAAATCAAAACTCAGCTCCTTCAAGTTAGGTTCCCATTTCCGAAGACAAATTGATTTATGTTGAACGTGCCAAGGACCGTTCTCTGAAACTCAGTCCCTAGACGAAGAATTAACAAATGAGAAAACAAAAAGATTTGGTCCAGCTTGACTCACCTTCACCGGAGACTGTTTCCCCCATAATAGGCTAACAATCTTCTGAATAGAAGCAAAGTTCGGGGCTGAATCAATGAATTAGCCAACCAAGGCGTACCTCCATTCCAAGATTCCCTCCTCAAACACGTAGCGAGGTGGCTTCACTACGCAGGAACTCTCGATCATCGAAGGAAGGAAGAAATTTAACTCCTGTTCATTCCCCACCGAGAAAAGCTTCCTCCAGTCAGAGGCACCCTCAACCTCCATGACCACACAAAAAACCCTCTAAAGAATCCCTAGAAATTACAGAAGAAAAGCAAGAATCGAAGAAGAAGGCCCGTCTTCAATCGCTATTAGCCCAACTAATATGCACCGAGTTTATTTTGAACAGAACTATACGATTGATTTTTATTTTACTTTTTATTTCTTCTATTAGTAATATTTAAATATTTTAATTACATAAAATTTATAAATAATTTTAATATAACTCTTAAGATGATTTTTTTTTGGAGATTTCTCCCCCCACCCAACAAAATTTTCGATTAGACTACATTCCCTGGACACAGATTTATTATTAACTACAACACGCAAATAAAATTTTAGATAGGTCCACATTATTCGTTAAAATAAAATTCAAAAATTGACTATCAGACTAGTCTAATATGTTGACCTACAAAGAGACATCATAACCATACAAATATCAAATATCACTCTAAATCAGTTAAGGCAAAAAAAAAAAATAGGACCATCCTCCTACATTCTACCTCTCCCTCGTGATCATTTCTCCCATACAAGGAAACATCATTTAATTAACATTTTCTTATCAGCTACGATTCTTTCACTAAATTAGAAGGATAAAGCACTAACAGTACACAAGTCACACTTGATCCATCAATAAATATTTAAAAATTATTTCAGTTATAAAATTTGCAATATATTCCATATAATAATAAATTCAGTTTTCAAAATTTTACTATAAAAATTTAAAATGTACCAAATTTAGTAAGAGAAAGAAATATTAAAATCAAATGGCCAATCAAGTATAAAAAACTGTAGGTTGAAATGATGCATTTTCTGTAAGTTGGAAACTCTGTTTTGAAAATCGAATCGGATCAGTCGGTTCAATCGGGAATCGTTGTTTAGTCTGGTTCAATTTAAACCGGTTGAACCGCTATTAGTGAACCGGTCAGAATCGCTAAACCGTTCGAACCGGATCGGCTGAAAACTGAAAAAAACCGGGAAAAACCGGGATTTTCGTTTTTTTAAAAAAAAAATTAAACCAAACAACGTCGTTTGTTAAACGAGCCAAGTCGAACTCGAGTATTGCTGAGCTCGACTCGAACTTGAAAACTTTAAAAGTAAGCTCAACTCAACTCAAACTCACAAGCTAAAAATTATTAAGTTCAACTCAAACTCGAAATATAATATTAAAACTTAAACTCAAAAAAAAATTAGAAGCTCGATTGAAACCTAAAATTCGAGCTTGATTGAAGTGAAAAAATAGTTCACTCAATGCTCACCAAAAGGCTCGATGATTTTGAATGTCAAATTACCTCTATTATTTATAGAAGTTAGTTGTGATGCGCTTCTATGTTTCTTAGCAATGTGAGATTGTTTTGTTCTTATATTTTCTCTTTAGACTTTTGGGATGCTCTTCTATGTTTCTTAGCCATGTGAGATTGTTTTTAAAAAAAATTAAACTAAACAATATCATTTTGTTATGATTTTTTTAACCCCAAATTTATTTTTTAATTATAGTTATATAATTATATTTATTATTTAATATGTTTTACTTTAAATATTATGTTGTAGTTAATTTGAATCATTTTGTTTCACTTGATTTTATAGTTTTTAACTTATATATGTTATGACTTGCTTTGAATATGACTTGTGATATAAAAAATTATTTTTTATTAAATATTTTTAGTATTTTTATTTAATTTTTTTTAAATAATTATTACGTCGTCTGATTTTTCCGACCGGTCAGACCGATTTGACCGGTTAAACTAATAAATCGATAGTATGACCAGTTCGCTAACCGATCCGGTTTTAAAAACCATGGTCGGAAACTTTGGACAAACTGGGAACCTTGCACGACTGGAAAGAAAGTCATTGTTTTTGTTTTTCAAATAAAAAATGAGTTTTTTTAGGGGTTCTCTCTACTTCCTTGAGACCTTTTTTAGATTGCCATTGCTACTACAGGATCTGGATCTCTCACTCTCTTTGCATCTCTCAACTCATCCACTCTTCTCATTACAGCCCATTCCCAGATTCAAGGTACTTTCCATCACTTAGTTGCTGCGGGTTCTTTCTTTTTCATCACTTTTATTCATCCCCTTGAGTTCATAATACTAGTTTGATCTCTGTTACTTCATCTGTTTCTTCCTTTTCTGCATTTATTGTTCAATACCATTGCATTTCAATCACATCTGCAAACCCTCAATTTATTGTCTTCCCCCATGACGATCAGCTTCTTAGATTGGTGAAGTTGACTATCAAATCTCTGCTTTGTTAACATGATTTGTGTGTGTATCTGTGTGTTAGTGATGATAACAGTAGGGATCCCTGCCCTTACATTTAAAACATGTTTTTTAAGGTTGACTGAGAAGCATACTTGTTTGTTGTCCGGTATCCATTAATTTCATAATGTCTTTGTCCACCACTTGCCCTTTTTTCAGCTTAGGGTCTGATTTTTTTTTTAAACACTTAATTGCATGCAGTGAAGGTGTTTCTTTTTGAAGTCAACGGTCAACGGTTGTTTTTTTTTTGTGGGGGGGGGGGGGAGAGAGAGCAATAAGATGGGAAAGTTAAGGGAAGTGGGTGATGCTTTGAGATACTGATAATGTTGCCTTCAATGTAGATGAAGGCAATTCATGCGTGGCATTGGCAGCTAAATGTAAAAGATATTCCCATCATGTCTGGTTCAAGAAAGAGGCCTGTGTGGATTATTGTATTGGTGAATTTCGTGATCTTGTTCTTGATTGCTGCATATGTTTACCCTCCGACGACTTCTGCCGCCTGCTTTATCTCCTCTTCCACGGACTACACTTTGACTTTTTGGAAGCAGCCACCGGCTCCGAAAGTTCCCGCTAGGGAATTAACTGATGGCGAGATAATCTCTCAGGTTGTAATTAGTGAAATCCTAAGGACACCTCCCGTCGAGTCCAGCAATCCGAAAATCACTTTCCTGTTTCTTACTCCAGGGCCACTCCCTTTTGAGGCATTATGGGATAAGTTCTTTCAGGTGTGATTTTGTTGCTCGCTCATCATTCATAGATTTTATCGTCTTCACTTTGCCTTGGTTATGGTTATGCAACCTCTTATTCACATTCATTTGATCTTTTCCTGCAGGGCCATGAAGGTAGGTTCTCCATTTATGTTCATGCTTCGAAAGAAAAGCCAGTACACACAAGTCGGCATTTTAAGGGTTGAGACATTCACAGTGAATCGGTAGGTGGAATTAATCATTTCATGCATTTTATCATGTTTAGGATTATGGCATTAAGCTATGGAAAAATTTGCATCCAAAATGCTGAGAGATTCGTAATGGAAATCTACTTTGAGAGGGTGTGCACTTGTAATTTATGCTTGATTATCACTATATAGTGCCGCCTGAAAAGCAGCTTTAAAAAATGCAGGTGGTTTGGGGGGAAATTTCCATGGTTGATGCCGAGAAGAGAGTGTTGGCACACGCACTTTCAGACCCTGATAACCAGCAGTTTGTGTTGCTGTCAGAAAGTTAATTGAGGTATAGGATTTCGTTTCTTATCATTCTCCTGATAAGTAGCTATCTGAGGCTCTACCTTTCTTTAAACCTTCTTTTACAGTTGCATACCATTACAGAACTTTTATTACGTCTACAACTACTTGACGCTCACTAACGTCAGCTTTATAGACTGGTAACCAACACTGAACTCTTCGTTTTATCCCGTCACATGTAACGTACTGTGAAAGGCTGAAAGCCTCTGCGTTTGTTGTTGTAAATTTTGAGTTTATAGAAACTACTTATCCCACATTTGATCTCTTCCTCTTGTCAGTTTTGTGGATCTCGGTCCGCATGGATCAGGGAGGTATTCAGAGCATATGATGCCCGAAGTTGAAAAGAAAGATTTTCAAAAAGGTTCACAGGTAAATCCTTTTACCATAACAATGTGGCTTCCAGCATATGTACCAATTCCAGAAAAATGGTATTGATATGTAGGGAAATTCTTGTATGCATCTATGTCTGCCTATCAGGATTCATTCTAGTCGGCATACATTAGTTAGAACAATGCTGTCGGTTGAATATGTAGTTAGCTTGGAGCTTGGTATTCAATATACAGAAATTCCGGATCTTCCATCGGGCATCCGGGTTCGCAACCAACAATAGACAATTGTGGTCAACTACATTTTGGGGTTTTCTTTTTTTGCATAAATGAAACAAACAGCGTTTCTGTGATTATAAATGTGGCAATCCGAGGTGCTAATAAGCCAGTTTCCGTTTTATTTAATTTCAGTGGTTTTCGTTGAAGCGACAACATGCTGTAATAATCATGGCGGACAGCCTATATTACACAAAGTTTAGGTATTACTGCAAGGTAATCTGCTTCATGGAGTTACCTTTTTTGTTGCAGTCAGTATTGTATGTATTATGAATAATGCAAACCACAAGTCAAATATACGGCATTTCGGAAAATTTATGCATGTTATGTGTGTTGTGACAGCCGAATATGGAAGGCCGCAATTGCTATGCCGACGAGCATTACTTACCAACTTTTTTCAACGTCGGTACATCAGACTTGTTTTGTTCTGCTTGTATCTATACTACTTGCTTTGATTCTTATGTAGAATTTACTTTTGCATGCTTGCATACAGATGATTGATCCCGATGGAATAGCAAATCGGTCGGTAACGTACGTGGACTGGTCTGAACGGAGATGGCATCCTAAATCATTTAAGCCCGAGGATATCACGTTGGAGTTCCTCAAGAATCTCACGGAACGCCGTTACATTACATATATGATTCGCGGACGTGTTCATTTGTTTATGCTTCATGTCTTCGTTGGTTGAGATTTTTAGAAAGATATTCATCGTTCTGTATTTTCTGCAGTCCATTGACGACGTCGTACATTTCACAAGTGATTCAAAGGTTAGTAAAAATATTTACTTTTTTCATCTTTTACTGTCTGTCAATATGATGCTTAAGGTCGAAATGAATGGTTAAACTTGCGAATAATGATGTTGTTTATGTGCAGAGAGTGCTGAGTGGACCTTGCATGTGGAATGGAATAAAGCGACCTTGTTATTTGTTCGCAAGAAAATGTTATCCAGAAACTTTGGAGAAATTGATGCTTCATTTCTCTAATTATATAACACAGTCTGTGTAGAGCATTTTAATAAAATTACTATTATTTTTTGATTTGATGAGCAGACTCAATCAAATTATTATTGTCATTCACCAGGATTACAAATTTTAATTCAGAAAGGGATATTTTACTAAAGGATTTTTTTTTCTAATTATAAAATATTATTAATTCAAACAAACTCCTAAATTACTGAAATTAAAAAATAAATACTTGTTTGTTCTAATCAAAACAGATACAGTAAAATAAAACAGAACCAAACAAAACTTACTAGAGAAGCTTCTTCCTCATCTGAATGGGCTCATAATCCGTGTGAACAAAAGATACCGACCATAAACACTCAAATTCTTTATCAAGTGTTATGAGTCGAGTAATTTGACCCTTCTTAAAATCATAAAACATTGCTCTGTTATCATCATCCAGCATCAGGAGAGTATCGGCGTTATAGAACGACATCGCTGTGAAACTGCCGATTCCTTTCTTTGGATCTCCAAAACCGATAGTATATTTTTTGCTCCAATACTTTGTTCTATAAGAATCCATGGTCCATATCTCCAATAACTCTGCATCTATTCGTCTCTGTGATATTACTGCCAGCTTACCTTCAAGTTTGGCGAGTTTGATCAAATAAGAAGCAGTGTAGTTGCACGATTTTGGCACCGAATTCGACTCCCAACTCTCTTTATCCAGATGAAAAGATCGTATTTTATACGTAGTTCTGCGTGTGATCCAGTGCCACCTGCCTTGAGTTGATACTCCGTCGGCCGAGTCGAAGAACTCGTATTTACCTAACTTCAAATTATGCAATCGCTTCCAGGTCCAAGTAGTCGAATCGAAGATTTTGCAATGACCCGAGGCTTCTATATCATGCGATACCCATACGATTTTGAAACACAATGGATTTGATTTGAGCACACTCACGGCGATCTTCCTCGCTGTATAATAACGATCTGGACTCCGCATGAGTTCCCACTGCCGAGTCGTGGGTTTACAAATATAATGCTGATGCTGCTCTTTTGGATCTGGGCTTTTGCAAAAGACTAAGCCTGTATCGGCAACTGCAAGAATCTCCACTTCGAGATTGGGTTTCTTGGGTAAGAAATCGAAACTCAGTTTACGATCATCTTTACCTGGATCGTCGTTGCTAACGAAAGTTGAATACAAACGAAACATACTCCAGTATTGAATCAAGTATCCGCACAATGTCTCTGTTCTCTCGATGTGGGATTGCATAAAACCGGATTCGTACGTGAGAGCATTGCATTCCTTCGACAGGATTCGACACTTTCTCATCGTCTTCAAATCAGTTCTTGATAATATTTCAGATAATATATCGCGGGATGCCATGAAAAGCAACTAAAGAAACTAGCTGAAGAATAATCTGAGATGGAAACTTGATTTGAATTACGAGGGATTAATGTTCTGTATTTATAGAGACGAGGGCTGCTAATTCCTCTCTTACTCAACAACTCCTAGTTTGTGTCGTAATCATGGTCTTAAGAACCGGACCGGTTAGCGAACCGGTCATGCTACCGGTTCACTGATTCAACTGGTCGAACCGGTCCGACAGGTCGGAAGAATCGGACGACGTCATTGTAGATGCCCGATTTGTCCGGGGCGTTATTTAAATTCAATTGGGTTTTACTATTATCGTTATTAGGGTTATTAGCATAAGTTTGGTATTTGTTAGTTATTAACATGAAAATATATGACATAAAATTACAATAAAAAATAATAATAATTTATAACATGGACTAAATATATTTATTTTTACTATTACAGGGCCTACACCAGAGTTACAACTAAAACGGGCCAGACCAAACAGGCCCAAGCATAAGAGAACCCTAAAACCCGTTAGGGTTTCCAGCTTCTGGTTCTAGCCGCCGCTCACCTTGGACCGTTAGATCTGCTCCTAATACAACGGTCCAGATTAAAAGACCATTAGGGTTTTTGCCCTATGCCCAGCACCGCCTTCCACGTCCAAATCGAGCCTCTGTCGACCGTTCGTCTCCACCAGTCAGCTTCCCCCGACTGCGCAGACTCACAGAGTTCTCCCTGAAGCCCGTGACCAGCTCGCACCCGTGACCTGCAAGCACACCAAACAAGAGACAGAGCACAAAGACAAAAACAAAACAAAACGCAAGAAAAGGAGGTCTTTTTATCAACAGTTATTATCAAAAGGGGGGGTCAGGAGGAAAGAAAGGAAAAACGAACTAAAAAGCAAACTACCAGCCATCAACAACGAAAAAAACTGGAATAGAGACCAAGCAACCATCCAAGAAGAAAACACAAAAATTAGAACGATCCGTACCTATCTCGTCTGAAAAGACCCTCGTCGCCCTCATTAGGAGGCAGTGCCTCGTCGAATCGAAGGTAAACCCTTCACCCTTCGTTGGTTTCTGGTTGGTTTTAGGTGTGCATGTGCGTTTTGGGTCTAGAGTTGGAAGCTGAAGGGGTAGATCGGGGTTAGGCCATCGTTTTTGGGTTAGGTTCTAGGTAGGTTTCTGGTCAAGGTTGCTCATCGGAGTCCTCCGGGGAGGTAAGAGGTCACGGTGGCCGTAGTGTTGTGAGGTTACTAGAGGGTGAAGCCGGTTGGGTTTTCAAGTTTAGTTTAGGCTTAGGTCGCTGGTTTAGGTTGGTATTTGAAGGGGTTGTCGTCGGAGGGAGTTTAGAGGACGTCTTGGCTCCTCATCGGAGCCATTAGACGGCGGTGGCCACGACGTTGGCTATGCTTCGTCTGGGGTTTGAAGGTTGAAGAAAAAGAGATGAGAGAAAACGGCTGGGGCTCTTCTGTTTGGTTTAGGATGAGAAGAGAAAATGAAATTAGGTTTAGGATTTACCCTATTATCCCATATGTCAAAACGGCGTCGTTCCCTGATGGTTTGAAACGGTTGCGTTTCATGAAGCTGGAGTCTACTGTGTTTTGCTGGAGGGTAATTGTGAGTATGGCCATCCCAATTTTGTTTTGTCCCATTTCGATCCCTGAACCGAGCTTTGTTACAATTTTAAGTTTGTATCTTAATTTTCAGCGTGTTACATCTTAGTCCAGAACCATGTTAGGGCCATTTTAATGTTGTTTAGGCATTGGATGTGTAATTTGAGAAACTTTCAATTTGGTCATTTGCAGTATTTTGGTTGTATTATGTTTGCAGTACCCAAAAATGAAAATGTTATGAAAAAGCTTGTTATTTATTTTTTATGTTTTAGTCCTTTTAATATTTTATGCATGTTTGTTAGGTTAATTTAGATTTATTTTAAATATATGCATGCGTATATTATTTCGAGCATTTTTGTCCATACGCATAGAGTCAAGTGTAGTTTATTTATATGTTGCATGTGTATATTATTTCGAGCATGTTGTCCATACGCACTTAGGTGTATTTCTTTTTAAAGCATGTTAGCCTCATTTACTTTAATCGCATGTTTAATTAATCTTTACATTAACATCACTTTGTATGATTTGCATGATAGCCTCACGTGCATGACTCGACTCTTGTTACATAATTGGATTAAGGGTAATATATTTTTAATTTAAAACTGTCGGAATGGCTTCTCTTAACTTACTAGAGAGTTGTTTTGACAATTTTAAATTAAAATTGTATCCCGTCAGTAACGCCTAATTAAATTTGGATCTATCACTTTAAAATTTGTGAGTGAAAGAAAAAGAAATATTCGGCTATTTAAATTATTTGAGAAAAGATCGTTAGAACTCACCTAAAGATCTGGTCTCGATATTTTTAAATAATCGAATATCCTTTATCTTTCTAATGACTTGGTAATTTTAAATTTACATATTTTGTTGCTTTTCAATGTTACAAATTTTCATTTTTGTTGTTTAAAGGGATCATTAATTAAGTTAAACTCAAACTTGTGAAATTCGTTGCAAATACATTAATTAATCGACTAGGTACCGATTTAGGGCGTTGTGGGGTGTTAATCCTTCCCCACACGTAACCGACTCCCGAACTTGGATTTTGGTAACATAGACCGCAAATTTGTTGTTTTAATTAAAATTAATTTTTATTTAAAATGACAATATTTTTGGGTGCCCATTCACACCCTAATCAAGGATTGGTGGCGACTCCTCGAACCATATGTTTTTATCGTAAAGAGATTTCCAAATTTTCGAAACGAGAGGTTTTCTAAAAATCACATTGTTTTTAATTAAAAATTCAATTGAAAAGAAAATAATTAAAAATGACGCGGTTTTCAAAACCTCGCTTTCCTCCGGGATAAAAAACGTTTCGACAGCTTGGCGACTCCGCTGGTGACTTTTTAGAGAGTCAGACCTATAGTCGATTAATTAATTGTCTTTGCAAACGAAAGTTATAAGTTCGCTTTGATTTGGTTCTTGATCCCTTGTTTGTTTGAATTGTTTTGTTTGCATCTTAATTTGTAATTTGGGCTAGTGAATAAATAGTTGTACTAATGTGTGATCTACATGTTTCAGTTTTCTGACTTTCACTTTAGTCTATTGTTTCTCTTGGATCGAGGCAAAGGATTATGAGTTTCCCCACTGTTGTTGTAAACCTTTAATATTTAGAGCCTTCTAACTGTGCTCTGTCCCGTTAGGTAGGGGTGAAAGCTACGCTTACGTGAGAAAAATTACTTTTCTCCGCATGGGCTTTAGCTAGTAACCTCTGGGGTACATGCCTTATGTTTACGAGTGAAACATTGAGTTTCCTCGCATGGACATAGGGAAATGTATCCTCTCGAAATTGAACTTGATCCGTTTTAAGCCTATAATGGGTGAGGATCGAGGGTCTGGCAAGCTCAATGGGGCACCAGCAAAGGACAATTCGAGGACCCTTTTAGTGATACCAAAACCCTGCCCGTCTTATGCTGAATCTCTGTCCGCAGACACAAAGGGGAAACTCATTCTAACTTTTCCCTCGAATTTATTTATTTTTGCAAAAAGTATGCGAACTAGAGATCATGTGGTTAGGTTTATTTTTCGAACATGCATGTGAATTAGATACCATGCGGTTAGGATTTTTTATAAGTAACAAAGCATGTGGGTAAATATCATGTTGGGTAGGATCTACTAAAGCATGATTCGGTAGATGCCATGTTGGGTAGATACCATGTGAATAAGGTTTAGGATGTATATATTTTCTATCTTCATGTTGTTTGTTTATTCTTTGACTATTCATTGTATATACTAACACAGTTTTATTTTTGTTTGTGTTTTATGTTTTATTTATTATTGCTGCATTGCATCATCATTCATGAAGAAAGGTGTTGATTCACAAGGTGGTCATAAAAGTATAAGGCGGTCATAAAATGGACAAGAGCTTTCATAACAAGGAAATGGATAACGCGGAAGTGAGGTCATGGTCCGAAGAAACTCAGAGGAAGAAAGGCGACAGTTTGACTGAAGATTACATATCAGTACTACCAGAGGTTGCTCCGGTCAGTCTAAAGCAAAACGATTTGCAAGAGTTACGCGAAATTTGGGAAAGTTGGAATTCTGATGTGAAATACTCTTTCTGGCAAAAGTATGGTGACATCGCCCTTCTGTTGTACGTGAAAGTAAACGAACCCCTAATCAAAGCTCTCATCCAGTTTTGGAATCCCGCATATAGCTGTTTCACTTTTAACAAGGAAGACATGACTCCCACGTTAGAAGAATACACCTCCTTGTTTCATTTCGAGACGATACACTTGGACCGAATCTACTCAAAAGCCTCAAGGACACAATCCTTTAAGAGCAAGCTCGCAAGGATTACTGGGATGGGAGAGAAGTGGATCGCTGATCGAATCCAAAAGAAAGGAGAGTCTAATTGCTTCCCTTGGTCATGCCTCAAGGAGCTTATCGTCAAGCATAGCGATATCGAGAAGAGCATTGAGATGTTCGCCTTGGGAATTTATGGTTTGATGATTTTCCCGAAAGTTCTTTATCACGTGGAAGCCGCAGTGGTCGATTTATTCGAGCGTTTGGAAAGGAAGGTAAACCCTATTCTTACGGTTTTGGTCGAGACATTCAGAGCACTTAGCAGTTGCAGAAGAGCTGAGAGTAGCCGCTTCACCGGGTGTGTCCAGTTGCTTACTGTTTGGATACGCAGTCACTTCTGGAAAATTGACCAAGAGTATAGTCGACGGTTTTCTACGACCTATTCACCCTTAAAAGATTTCCTCACTAAAGAGTGGCCAGAGCATCTCACCAGGAAGGATTGGGTTTCACTCTTCAGAAATTTACAGGAGCATGATATAGTGTGGCGTGTCCCCTGGTTAGCTTTTGTGGATGTGTTGTACAAATGTGGGGATTCTGATTGGGTAACCCTATTAGGGTT